TCACCTACCAGTTATATAGCTGCTTCCCAAGCACCAACTGAAACATCTTCTCTTTGATTGTTTTTAACTGCCTTACCTCATTTTCTTCCTCATGTTCTAATATAGCCTGTAGAAAAGCCCTCCGCTCATGGCTTGAAGATTTCTGATCAAACATTCCAGCCTGAATAACTTTTTGATCTACATTCAGTTTATACTTCGCAGCAGCGAGTATCTTCTCCTCCACACTGTTCACAGTGCACAGTCGCAGGACTCGAACCTCATTCTGCTGACCAATTCGATGAGCTCGGTCTTGGGCCTGCAAGTCCTATTAGGCAAAGAATATGGAATGATGCATAACATAACTGTGCTACACAAATCACTCCCTGCTTAAAGGACGCCGTAATGTTGGATTTTATTAGCATAACAAAAAGAAGTGCTCAAGCTACAGCCCACCACAATTCATCTAGCTCATTCCTGATTATCCTCCTTCTTGGGAGTTCATCACGCCTGGGCAGGCAAACTAGAGGGAAAAAAACATGTGCATGCTCTGTACAATGTGAATGCAGTAAGTCTAACACTTCTTGAAAGCATGTGCAGTAAGTGACCAAGATAGGCCACAGTATGCAATTCTTCTCTGCCACTGAGAGTTCATGGCCTTTCAGGCCAGAAAGAAACCCTGGAGTAAAGCAACTCTCTAGTCCAGGTACAAGAACAGAGGCAACAATATAACTAGGTATATATTATAAAGTCGAGATATAAACCTGTGTATCTAAAGCAAAATTTCTTTTTTTTTAGTGCTTTAAAGCACTAAATTTCTGAATATCTTAAATGCATTAGTAATTTTATGTATTGGGTCTGGCTAGAAAAGAGTTCACTTTCTTCATACCAGCCTGTTGGGGGCTTGTCCGGGATGGTGCTGTGATATGGATTTGTCACCAAAAGAGTGTTGATAACACAGCAATGTTTTGGCTGTTGCTGAACAGTGCTTGCACAGCATCAAGGCCTTCTCTGTTTCTCACTCTGCCCTCCCCCCCAGGGAGTAGGCTGAGGGTGGGTAAGGAGTTGGGAGGGGACACAGCTGAGACAGCTGACCTGAATTGACCAAAGGGATATTCCATGCCATATAACGTCATGTTCAGCAATAAAAACTGGGCAGAGTATGGGGGGGGGGGGGGGGCCAATTTGGGTTGCTTTCACAGTGA